GCAACGCGGACATGAATGGATTCCACCGTGGAAAATATGTCAATCACTCCGTTCCAACACCCGGCGCGTGCACGCTCCGATTGACATCGTCTCGCATCTGTTGCCGGGACCAATCGAGTGCCGGCTTTGTTAACGAGATACACGCGTTACGCTTTACCGTGTTGTACGAATAATACCGTCGCGTATATAATGCCATTGACACGATTATTCGAGTTGGCACCGCTGGAACAGCAATCTCGAATATTATCGCCGGCGAGTCGGCGGCAAGACAGCCCCGAAACCAGTGAAGCGCCGCGAACAAGTAGCATACAACGTCGCAGATGTCGTGGCGATGTAGATGTCACGTAAACGCTTGTTAACGCGGCGAATGAAGGCGAGATGTACGACGCGAGACGTCGGATACGTCGATCTGGCGAAAAGTTACCCTTCGGTAACTGACGAGCAATACGCCTTATCGTCGTCGCCAGACGACGCTTTGCTTGGCCGCGGCAACCGGGCGTTGTACGGTAATCGTAGTGACTCATCATACGTCAGCAATCAATCAACTAAGCTGGATTGGTTGTGAGATTGACGGAATAAAACCGCACACGTGCCACTCGCGACAACGGCGTCCGCAGATTTCCAATAACGATACTTATCCGGCGTATTTATTAGACGTCTTATCGACAGTTGAACGGGACCACCGCTATGAATCATAAATGAAATATTATTAATTACGGACTCTAACAAATTGATGAATTAGCATGTAAAGTATTATCCGAGATCTGATGGCGTGTCGATCGCGTTCCGAAGATAGCATTCTCGCCAATGTCGATACGAAGCAACCGGTTTGGCGTAATGACAAACATAGCTATGCGTGTTTAAGCAACATGAATATTAATATCTGTAATATTTTAACATTTTTGCAAGATATTTAATATAACTTTTATGAGACGTTAATATTTGTATTAAAACCGTGTTTTCTAAATTATCTTTTAATAAATTGTATTTAATTACACGTTAAAAGAGATGTATATATAAAAATTTACGCTCATGGCGCATATATTAAAAGCCTGACAAAGAGAATAAGGTACATCGTGTCGTCGATCGCTGTCACGTATCTTTGTTGCAAGTTCCTGTTGGAATCAGAAAGTGATAGATGGTGTCCGCGGCTCGATATTATCTTAAGTGACGAAGTCACGCACGCGATTGAACGCACGGATTGGTGCGCATGCATGCGACGTCGTAACGGCCAGGATGTAGCTCTGACGAGTGTAGGTGGCTCTTGTCGTCGTCTCCGTCGTCGTCGTAGTTGAGAGGAAGTTAGTTATCTCTTTGGGCTTGTGCGATGTGGAGGTGAGGCGAGAGCAGGACGCTTGAAAGAAGCGCTTAACGAACTGACGACGACATTATTGTTGTTGCCGGGACCCGGACGGATTCGGCCGACTACCCGTTCCCTTTATCGGATGAAGCCAGAAGGCAGACCTTACCCGTTCGTTCGCCCTTCCCCTTCTCCTCCTCCTCCTCCTCCTCCTTCTCTACGCCACCGGCGATTTTCTCTGCCCATGCTCTTTCACTCGTTCGTACGAGAAGAAAAACCGTACAAGCGAGGGTATAACGGCGAAGGGAAAAACGGAAGTGAGAGAGGAAAGGATAGAGACGACGGACCTCTCTTGATTTGACTCTAATGCCGGGAGGGAGGGAGGGAGGGCAGGGCTTTAATTAACTCGCCGCTATCTTTCCTGGTTCCGTGTTGGTATTTACGTGTGTCAGCGGCTTTAACCGGGTCTTTGCCTCCCGTCCTCGTTTCTATGTTCTCAGGAAAAGTCGTGCCCGTCGCCGGTCGACGATTTTCCCAAGGATTGTTGATGCGCATACAGATCGTGATCTGGCTTTATCTAAATGAGCTGGATTGTACGTGTACATTTCTTATTACGCGATAACACGATCTACATTGCACGGTTGTGTTTCGCGGTTAGTAATTTTTCGTAATATTTTTTGTAATTAATGTACTGCGTATTGTTATTATATTTAACTTACAAATATCAGAAGTTATTAATTAATTTAATTTGCACGCATATATCTTTCGTGTGAGTCTCGAGGAATTAATTTTCCACAACTTCTCGCGAAATTCACGAAAGGGTGTCTCGATGCGATCATCGCATTGTATTCGGGCGCGAAAGAAGATCTCAAAATATATATTGCTAGTCAGCACGCGGCGACGGTGGCAATACTATCGTCGTCGTGGCGAGGCCATCTTCCTCTTGGATTCATTAAAGACTTTTATCGGGAGAACACAGGAGCGTCTATGTACCAATTCACTTAACGTAACCAATCTAAAAATGCTCATCAGCAATTTAAAGCGACGAGGGCTTCTGGAAGGACAACGGGCGACGGGGCTGGACGGGCCGGGGGTGAGAGGGTATAGTCAATGGGGTAGTCAGAGAAGAACGACGGGAAGAAGAGACTTTTGCGTGGCTCCTTCGAGGGGAGCGGAAGAGGCGGTCGGTGGTGAACCACCTCTACCGCGGTGGCGCGACGCGGCTGCCTTCACGCGGCCAGGAAATAGGATAGAGAGTAAAAGGAAGGAGGATGAAAAGTCAGGAACGGATTTAACAGAACTTAATGATATTTTAATTATTACGTGACACATAAAAATTTTCTCGACACGAATCGTTTAAATATGCGTGAGAACGGAATTTATACTTCTGAATTAAATTTTAAAGAATGACTTGTGGTTTAGAAATATTTATCAACTTTTTAAAATTACATATTAAATAAATAATATATAAAACAACTTGTTTCAAATTGACATTTTTTATTTTCTGTTATGCTTTTATCGGATATCTGGAAAATTATTAGCTTCAGACTCTGAGAAAGCATCCGCTCCTGCGAAGAGCGGAAGGCGTGAAAAGAGAGAGAGATCCATTTACGAAATGCTCATCGACCGTCGTGGGCTTTTTTCCGGATGTAGGGTGTATTCCGCCCTCCCCGTAGCCGAACCACCGAAGCGAGCGAGAGGGTGGGAGGGGTGCTTTTCGAGAACGCGCAGAGGAGGATTACTCTGATTCGTTTTGGCTTGCAGATTTCGCCTTTTCCAACCGCCCCGTGCCCATCAGCGTCCTACCGGTGATTCGCTACGCGAGGGATGAGAATCTTGAGGAATGGGACGAGAAAGCGTAGGAAATGATTGCCAGCGTTGCGATAACAGTGAATAAAATTCTTCGATCTCGAGACGTAAATGTAATGAGTTTAATGAGTACTTTGTTTTGCGTTAAAATGGAATTTCGAATCATCTAAAAGAGTTTAGAAAATTCATCACAGAAAAGTTATTTATTAGAACCAACATCACGTAATTGCATTGATCGTTAACAATTGAAAGATTAGTCTATAAATGCCGAGCGAGATAATGATCCGGCGCATCGCAGCGGCGGAATTAATAATTTCGTGCGAACGAACTCATAAATAGATATATTCCAGACGCCGTAATCAAGACGCAAATGTCATCCGTCACGACAATACAGGGAGATAAGACCATTGTCGAGTCTGCGGTTATCGGCTTTCCAAGAGAAAGGGAGAGGCGGAGTAATGCCTCCGCGCGCAGCCGTAAATCATGGTGTTTGCATAAAATATTAATAAGTGACACGAGTCAATCCGGGATTAGATACAAGGGAAGTTGCGTGGAGGGGTCTCCTACGATATTTCGCGCGCGCCACTTTATCTATCTCTATTTTATTTTGTTTGCATTGGCTTTTCCCACGAAGGGTCGCGCCGACTCGATCCACGCTCTCCTCGCGATACTCTCTTCGACAAATAGTAATAATGCGAATTGACACGTGACGCTGTTGTCGCAACAACGGCAAACACTACGCCCGGGGAATGATCGAGGGGGGGCGTGGGTTACGCTTTGAGAGGTCATTTTTAGACGTGGGAGATACGTCTTCCGTCACTTTGTCGCGGATTCAGAAGATCGATTGCAAGATCGTTCAGGATTTTGTTGGAGATGTTGCATCGAACCGATAACTGAATTATTTTAAGATCTACTCCGAAGTGAGCAGCGGCGAATGTTGTTGCGCGGAGAGAAACCCTTGTGGCGAGAGAGCCGAAAGAGTGGCGTCCCGATTGGCATCCCGAGAGCGGCTTTCGCGATGACGTGTGTAGGATAATTGCGAACGGCTGTATCAGTGACCCACACTCCGTTCGACACGTGTCGCCTCGTGCGCCCGTTGCTCTTATCTGGCGACTGCTTTACAGCGCGTTGAGACTCTCGGGTTAGTGCGCTTCCATTACTCGTAATAATATATTCTTATAACTTTGTACAGAGGTTTGTCTCCCCTCTTCTCCCCGATGACGGATAAAGAGACGGGATTGGGACGGAGAGAAGGCCAGAGAGAGAGAGAGAGAGAGAGAACGTGCTGCAGCACACGCGTTTGTCAATGTTTGCCGGTGTCGACACCCACCTACTTATGCAAATCATTTAATTTAACCCCTCCATACCGCGCGTATCCCGAGAGAGATCGTATCTCGAAACCTATTCGTATTCATTGCCCCGACGGTGGGGAACGCGCTCGACCCACAGCAGCCATACGATCGCGTTTCTCTTGTCCCGACGCTACCACCGACCCGTGTTTATATCGACGTAAAGTCTTGCGCCACGCGTGCGTTACGCGCGTCGCTGCAACCGAAGAATTACCTGCGGAAATCGATGTTACTTCTCCGATTCAACCACGCGGCTGTAACATATACACCACACACGCGGATTTACGACGTAACTGAAGAGACCCGTCGTCCCGCTTTTCAATTACAATTACTTTTGCATTTATTTACACAAGAGACGTTGAACAAATGCAAATAGGCAGACTCTGCATGCAATCATTGCAACTTGGAGCTTATTTGACACTTTGATTTATTATTCAGATATGATAAAATTTTGCATCCTTATTAAAAATATGGGCCAAATAAATCGTATAAAAGTATTTTATTTATAATAAATGCAGAAAAAATAAATTTTTTATTTTCAGATGACTGAAGGACTGAAACAGTGTACAACACAAGGAGCAGACTTCGGTGAGTTTTAATTGAAAATGATTGAAATTTAACTTGCTAACAGATACAATCAAATTGTTTATGAAAATGTATTTTCTGAGGGAATTTGGAATCAAATATAAAATAAGATTTGCATGCGGCTAAATATAATTATATAATTAAACGCATAAAATCTAAACAGCGTATCTCGTAGAGCGCAAGATACATTATATATCGTCCGATACGAAAGCGAAACGAAGCGCGAAAGCGCTCGATGTAGGTATATTGAATAAATGCGGTGATTGAACGTGCGGTAGCGAGCGATACGATTTCATTACCGCGGCGCGAGTGGAAATCGCGGGAGTCAGCGATTACGATTGGCCGGCGATCGTGTTCGGCGCGTCCAACGGCCGGTCGTGAACATCGCGGAATGACGTATCGGTCGTGCGGTCGTTTTAACCGTTTTAACGGCCCGGCGGAAAACGAGTGTCGGCAGCCACGCCGAAAGCCGTGTACACACACTCGTGACCGAAGGCCGGACGGATGCTGCAACGATATGATATCGATTCCAATTCGAGCCCACTGAATCGAGCCGAAGAGCGCGCGTGAGGGGGCTTTGGCGGGACACTGCTGAATTAGTAGCATTGTTAATGCAGTAATCGAGTGCTTCATCGTTGGATGATTCCGGCGTGCGGGGTGGAGTGCCACCGGCCACGCCGGATGACGAGAGGCGGCTGGAGTGTGCGCGCGCGTATGCTTGGGTACCGATATATACGTATATACGCGATCGCGTGTCCACCCATGTGATACAACGTGTTGTCATTCGGCTAACGTGTATATTGATGCTGGATGGCAAAAATTTCGTCGCAGATGTGGTAATTGTTCCGTCGATGGAAATTCGGCGGGTGTTAAATGCGTTGATGAATTTTCCAACATGACAACACTGATGATTTGATCAGGATTTGAAATGCGTGCTGAAATTTAATGAGACGAGAATATTTACTTAGTTTTGCAGTCGATTTACGGACGCGATAAAAAGTTTCGGTTTTAACCGGTGTATTCATAATTCACGTTAGTCAGGGAACGAAATAGAAGCAAGAGCTCCATAAACGTTCGCGCGTGTATTCATGTAGACGACGTGCACCCGCCGTTTGTCGCCACAGCCGACGTTCATTTGTTTTTCCCAACAAAATGGAAAAAAAAGAGCCGGCACTGCATTGGCGTGACTCGTGCCGACGACGAATGGAAGCAATTACAAAAGCCAGCAGCGCGATTTTTTTTCTCTTTCAAAAAAATCATTTAACAGCGTGAATTAGAGCGTACCGACAAACGTGAACTGTACTTCGCACGCCTTTATTTATAAATCAAAACTCCGTTAAATTTCTTTATTATTTTTCGAAATGTCATAGTAATAGTTTCTTACATTTTACAGAAAGTCATAATGCAATAAAATAATAAAGTAGCGCGGAAGGATAGTCACGCAAAGTTTAAAACGATTATTATTTTAATCAATGTGTCGTCGATCGCTAAACTTTGGCGATACGCGACTCTCTGGCGCCGCCTCTCGAAGATGATTTCGCGAAGCACGCCGGGATATGTCAGCTGCAGTATACGGAGAGCGAAATGTATAAACGGCCGCTCGTGTATTCATGTACTCGACGTGTACCCGCCGTTTGTCGTCACGGTCGACGTTCATTCGTTTTTCCGGCCGAATGAAAAAGCCAGGTGGTGCACATAGCCGTGCGATCTGTAGAGCACACACCGACGCCGAGGCGTACGCAGTGGGTGGCGACGCGACGCCCGGCGTCGCGCTCACGCGCGAGCGAGCGAGCGAGCGAGCGAGCGCGTCTAGCCCGTTTGTCAAAACTCTTTATTGCCGTCCTCCGAGCGCTGTATTCAAAGCGAGGACTCGAATGTACACCGGTCGGAAAAGTGCACCGCTTCAGTTTTATACATATATAACGCGCGCGGTTTGAGTTTTATGATTACCCGCGTCGCGAGAAAATATGCGACAGGACACGGTCGACACGTCCATGTTTTGCCCGTTCCCGTTCCTCCTCCGCCCGGACTCATCTCCGACTCTCCTCGAACAGCGGCGGCCGGTTCGTCAGTCCCCGAAGAGGTCTGCGTCAAAAGCGGCCGTGTGAGTGGCTTTTTTTTAGCTCACATCTCTCCCGATTTTTTCGTGTGTCCACTTTTCAGCCGGAAATATATCGCGGTGCGCGCGATTTGGCAAGTAAACGGGTATTCGTTATTATCCAACGATGATACTTCAAACATTGCGAAAAAGTCATATAATGTTACAATAGACACATTTCGCAACATTGATAATAAAATTAATAACGTTTTTGAAAAATTAAAAGTGCATTACTTATAGGAAAAATAATTGAGTTATGCCAAAATTATTTATTATTAAATAAGTTTTATATTTCAAATAACGATGTATATTATTATATTTATATTTCTCACATTTATTTTGCAAAAAATTTTACTTGCTCTCAAATCTTTAATTAATTATCGAATATAACGATTCTGCGAATTTTATCCTTTTTGTCGTGTTATTTATTAATATCAATGTTCAGAGTTTTTTGCTCTAAATGCAGAATGTACTATTGCATATATGGAAATATACAGCTCATGTGTCCATGAATAAAAAACGCGAGTAAGGTGGAGCAGCACGAAGCATTAGCGGAATATAATAGCCGTAATACCGACTATGTTCAACATACTCGGAGGTTGTGGCGGAATTTCGTTTCTATAACATTCAGTTATGAATTGTAGTGAATTTTCATTTTTTTTTCTACTCGCACTTTTGCGGCGGACAAGCATCTAGTTATAACTTCGCCGCAGTTAAATGTTTCAAATAATTAACGAACAACGTCGTAAAAACTCTATCGTTGAAAAGCGCTACGATATCCATTTGTGTAATTAAATTTGGAGTTGCGTTTCTGTTAACATAAATTCCATTTCAAGCGAGATTGTTCTTGGCGTCCATTAGGTGCCAAGCATAACACAAATTAGCGGACAATATGACGAAGAGAGAAAATATTATTGCAGTGCAAAAAAACGGAGGAGATTCGTGTAAGCCTATAAGTGTTGCCGTTCCATAATAAAATGGCTTCTTTGTCCTCTCTTTCTCTTTCTCGCGAATACATATAACTTTTGTGACAAGGAAATCCTGCACGCCCCCTTAGGCGCTCCCGCGTGTTCGTTTGTGTACATAATACATATGTATATATTGAAAGGATTTGGACAAGAACTCGTGTGTCCTTTCAAGGAAAGGGGAACGTCTGGATCTTGAATGGCGAAATGGGAAAGAGTAGACTGACACCTTCGGAGTCGCCATGCATGACGTGTCTTTAAATCGAGACGTCGTTTCGCGCCGATCCTTTCCGCTGTTATCACAATGTGTCGCGACAAATCCAATTTTAAACAGCGAAAACTTGTTATAATAAAACTAATTTAAACTTTAGTTTATTTTAATTTATTCTATTAATATCTACATATATTAGCAAGCTGTTCTCTAAAAAACATAATTCAAAATATAAATGTATTTTCTCGGACATATAGAATTTCAATTTTAATTTAATTCATTCTGCGATTCCATTCATTCACGATTAGTATACTCGGGGCACATGGGGTATCATAATTTCAGCAAGATATCGTGGGAGAGAGTTCAAAGCGCAAAAGAGGACAATCAATGGTCCAGACAACACCGACGTACGATTGTGTAACGCCTGTTACGACACGCGCTGTAACACGAAAAGTGCACGACGAAATCGGGCAAGAACGCTTAACCGGGTGAATACACGATGTGCATTCTCTGCCGCACAGGGGTCGCGACACAATGGGCATGAAATCCGAAAAAGGGGGAGACTGCGGATAATTGGCCGGAGCGTTTGCGTAGCGTCAAATCGCGAGGTCAATCCGCTATCGCCCTGCGAGTCCCCGCTTTCCGCCCCCCGCGTCTACACGCACGCACATCACCCCCCCCTCCCCCTCCCCCCGGCCGCCTCGTTTGTCCAATACGCTCTTCAGCGGTCCCATCGATGAAGGGAATGAAAATCGAGGTCTAGCCGGGAATATAGATGACGCGATCATTCGCGCCTGGCATCTCTGCGTCGCTGCGCGATTGTACACGTGCTTTTGTGCACGTTCGGATCGGCAAAAAGCCATTTTTTTTCTTTTCGAGAGGGGAAAAGAGATAGGCCAGTCATTGTTAGATTTTATTGGAACGCATATCGGGATTTACCTGGTCTAACTCACAATGCGAGACAGGAAATAGAATTTCGATTACGATCGCGCGTAGCGTACCTTTCGCATGAGTGATATGCGTGTAACACTGATAAAACACGCGACATACATTTTCGCGTGTTCGAAGTACGCCGACAGTCCGAAAATTTAGTGCGTGAGCTGTAAACGAGTTTGTTTTTCGTACGTAGTGGCCGGGTGCGCACGCAGCGCGCGCATTATTTATGAGATTACCGGAGATTATGGGAAACGTGATCGTGATATCAAGTGGCTCGTTCCCAAGGCCTATTGCTATGTCACGCATAACGTACACATACTTTTCGTTACACATCGGTGGCTTATCATTCCCAGACACCTTTCGAAACTCGGCGAGGATTTTACTTCACTCAAATTTAAATGAAATTAAAGTTTGACGGAAAACTAGCTTATTTTATCGCACCTTTAATCACTTGATGGACATTTTTACGTTGCGCAGCGCCGGATTTTGTTCCCAGTCCACTCGTCTCTCATTTTTGCGCGCCCCCGGGTATACTTTATTCCGCGTGTCACGCTGCCTCGTTCTCCCGTCTATCACGCGTGTCTATTATGCGTCCATAGAGCCGCGAGAAAGATACACACGGGGACCTCGGGCTAATCTGGCGTGCTCTTAGGGTGAATTCGCCGTGGTATTGCCACTCCGATAAATAAATCAACTCGTAAGCAGCCACCATTAGGGTCCTGCGGCGTGTACGCGTCTCACACCCCACGCACATCCTCCTCCCCCCCCCCTCCCCCCGCATCTATCCGCGTTG